AATTCAATTCAGAAATTTCGTTTGAGTGAATGGAGCTGGGGCGTCATGTGTGGTACTTGTTCACGGACAGTTTAACGATGGAAACACATGTGTACTCCATTCTCAGGGTCGCAGTGTAAGCCGAGAGGATCCAGGAAGAGGCTAGCTCTGGTTAATTAAATTTCAGTTCCCTGGTGAACTATACGGCAACGCATCCTGTCTTAATATTCATTGCCGTGGGAACGTCAGTCTTAATATTTATTTTTAGAATCTCACGTATTTAATGGAGAGAAAGTAAAACTTAAATACTCCCCTCTACCTCCCTCACCGCCTCCTAACCTAACCTAACCTAACCTTACTCTCAAGTTGGTACTTTAGTTTAGGAATTGTAATCTTGACTGTGGGGTGTGAACGCAAAGATGATATATGATTACAAGGATTACTACCGCTGCTTGTTGCCTTAAGCTGTTGTGATCCCACAGACCAATATGCAGAACACGCTAGACCAAGAGGCTTAGAATTAGAAACTTCACACTTTCCACCTTTATGTTCTGAAACCTAAAGAAAAGATTTCACTTCATTATCGCTTTCAGAATGGATGTCTAGGAATGTTAATATTGAAGTTTCACTCCTCTATCGATTCGAAAGCAGTATTTACTCTCTTTCTCCAAACTGTGAGAAATATGAATTTGATTTCTGGTTGAACCAATTACCAAATATCTTGGTTGATTTACCGTCACTTTTGCTTCGTTCAGAAGATCTGGCTTTCAGATCTCCCTCTACGAGGCCTCGTGTTCTAACCTGCATTTGTCTTGTTTTTTCTCAGTCATTCCTGCCAAAATCCGGAATAAAAGAAAGGTAAAGGCAAAGTTGGGCATGTACTGTCTTCGCTCGCTTGGAAACCGGGATCGTGGGTTCGGATCTGTTTCCTGTGAGGTACGAACTGAATTCTTATATATTATTCTTATACACTGCCGGTCACGGTAGCCGAGCGGTCTAAGGCATGTACTGTCTTCGCTCGCTTGGAAACCGGGATCGTGGGTTCGGATCTGTTTCCTGTGAGGTACGAACTGAATTCTTATATATTATTCTTATACATTGCCGGTCACGGTAGCCGAGCGGTCTAAGGCATGTACTGTCTTCGCTCGCTTGGAAACCGGGATCGTGGGTTCGAATCCCACTCAGGGCATGGATGTTTAGTTTGTTTGTGTGCGTTTTTCTGTGTTTGTGTACAGGTAGAGGCCTTGCGACGAGCTGATCACTCGCCCAAGGAGTCCTACCGAATGTGTAAGATCTAGAAAAACCGAAGTGAACGGAGAAGTTCATGGAGGTAGGCCTAGGCCCACTGGGGCTGTAGTGCCAAGGAAAAAAAAGGGGAGGGGGAAGTTGTCCCTGTGCTTAACTAATTAAGCATTACGTCATGAAGACGTATGGGGGAGTGGATGTATACATCCACGTTTTATTGGCTTAGGCACTAGTTGGAGTGGTCAGCTTCACGCCCCGGCCGCTTAACCCCCCCCCGAAGAGCCTCCAGTACACATTAGGGAAGAGGCTGGTTGGGCCTCAGAGCCGGTCTGGACGCTGTGGAGAAGAGAAAATTCTTGACCTTACAGGGAATCGAACTCCAGCCCCTCGGTCATCCAGCCCGTGGCCAGTCGCTATACCTACTGAGCTATTCGGGTTCCTTGTCAAATTCCAAAATTAATACCTCACATTGAGGCACCGAAATTCAGTATTTGAGGTCTTACAAACGGAAAGACATGGCAAATCTAAAGGCGGCCGCACCATCAAGACATGAGACAAAAGAAGCACGCAGTCTTGCTTCATTCGTGATTCGTCAGCATGAAGCTGACGTCAGCATCATGATTCAGACCGGTGTGCGTCGGTTTTCATAATCTCATTCGTTTCAACTGTGCTCCTTTCTTTGCGTCATGTCGCAGACATCATGTCTTGACTGTTACATGTCTTGACGCATGCAGGTGTGCGTCCTACCTAACAGGTCCACATTCACATCTCCTTGCAAACACACTGAAAACGAGTCCGTTTTGAAGGTAAGGAAAGCTGTTACTGGTTTATGTTTTAAATTAATTTAATGCTGCAGATGTTAGATGCTAGCTAATGAAGGCCGTTTGCATTCTAAAAGCAATCGTTACAGCACAGCTTTGCACAAAGCAAACGTCTCCCCTGAGACAGGCACAGACCAGAGGATCCAGCACTCGGAGGTTAACAGTCGGGGTTTGACATTTGACCCAGCGCTTCGCATTAAAGAGAATAAGGAAGTTCGGTTTCTGTGATTGATTTGGAAAGGAAAATGTTGAAGTCTCTTGTGAAAACCAGTAATGAATCTCCGGTTTCGATACGAAATGATAGAGGCAACTGTTAAACGATAAGGTTCAACAATGTTTCTCATGATACTGGAAAATTGGAGAATGCACGGAATTGTTCATTAGTGATGTCACGTCAGAATATTTGTCGTAATCATCATCATCATCATCATCCATTTCAGCATCAGGTCTACTGAGATGTGTTACAGATATTTACTTACTTACTTACTTACTTACTTACTCATGGAGCTAGCGGCCTCCGTAGTCTAGGGGTAACGTTCCCACCTCATGACTCAAGGTACGCGGGTTCAAACCCGGCGGAGGTCATGGAACTTTTAAGGGCGGAAAAATTCAGGGAACAAGTCCTCCGGGAGGGACTTTAAGCCGTGTGTCCCGTGTCGTAGATTTACGGCACGTAAAAGATCCTCATGTCTCTAGGAGACCTCTGAGCTAAATTACAGGCGCTTTCCCGCCCAAGTAGTCTCCAGTGCCTCTGGTGGATGGGGGAAGCATCAAGGTACCGGGGGCCGACCTCGTTGGCTCATCGGGGGCTGATGGCACGCACCGTTACCGGTAGGGTATGGCGACAGTAGAAATTAAAAGGGGGACGCACAATGGACCAATAACTGGTCTAAGTTCATGGGGAAACCCACTCCCTCTCATAATACATACATACTTATGGAGCTGAGCCCTTATTGAGGAGCCGCCAATTCTGCAGCTACTCAAGAATTTTCCAGCATTTTATGGAACTCGAAGGTTTATCACCGTGTTCACAAGAGCCCTCCACTGGTCCCTATCCTGAGCCAGATCTATCCAACCCATACCATCCCATCGTATCTCTCTAAGATACATTCCAAGTGCCAAATCTCATATCCATTTTCATTAGCTTAGGTCGTTTATCCAAGGAATCAGTCCAGGTCCTAGGCTTTGTGTTCATTTTCGTAACGTACTAATTTTTTACGGTGAGGAGTTGTTAGCCCCACGCCCAACCCCCAAGCTGGAGGGCCACCACTTGTCGGCTGTCCGTGACTGCTTATTCAATCTATTCACAGCTTCCCCCCAAAACTGGAAGGCGTCTCCTCCATCCGCAACCTGAGGACGCGCCATGTCGTGGTGACAGGGACCCACCTAACATGGTGTTACAAATATTACAGAACATAATGTTTCCATTATTCAAGAGGATTTCCAAAACTCCTTTCCCTTTTTGAATGATATTTCAATACATTTTCTGGAATCCTATTATAATTAATTTCTTTTTTCAATGTGTTCATTCTAATTTATTCTACATTGTTGTACGAACTGGGGGCACGCGATAGCGTAGTTGGTTGATGCACTATGCTACAAGCCGGAAGGTCGCGGGATCAAATGCCGATGAGGTGGATTTTTTCAGTTTACCCAATCCTTCCAGCCGCACAATGGCCTTGGGGTCGACTCAGCCTCTAAATGAGTACCAGAAATATTCCTGGGGCTAAAGGGCGTCCGGCGCGTAAGGCTGACAATATCACCGACATCTGTGAGCCGATTATCTAAGATGTGGGAGCCTCCATGCCTCACAGCCCTATAGGCCTTCATGGCCTGTTACAAGGATACCTTTACTTTACTTATTTTTACTTGTCATAAGAATTCTGTAATTTGTGATATTTGTACTTCTCTCATATTTTCATATTCTTTACCGCCCGAAAGAGTTAGTCTTCATCATGAAAGGCAGCTTTGCTTTTATCAGTCTTCTGTCACCATAAGGTAATGTTCTTAATAGACTTTAAAGGATTCTGACGTTGGTGTATGCTGTACAGAACTATTAGGCTTATTTTGGACTCTATCCATCGTCTGGTATGTATAAGACGGTAATGTTCTTCTGGGCCGGTCCAGGTAGCCGAGCGGTCTAAGGCATGTACTGTCTTCGCTCGCTTGGAAACCGGTATCGTGGGTTCGAATCCCACTCAGGGCATAGATGTCCAGTGTTTATGTGTGCGTGTGCGTGTGCGTGCGTTTTCCTGTGTTTGTGTACAGGTAGTCCTTGCGACGAGCTGATCACCCGTCCAAGGAGTCCTACTAAATATATAAGATCTAGTAGACCGAAGTGAAACTGAGTTTCATGGACGTAGCCCAAGGCCCAAATTGGGTCTGTAGCGCCAAAGGAAAAAGAAATAATATTGCCAAGCTAATTAGATACATACAGCACAGTCTGCAAATAAGCAAAACGACACAGTAACGTGTATGGGTATACATTTTAGCCTAGAATTGATACCAGTCATTGTTTGTTTACATCGAAATATTCATCTCTTGAGTAGAAGGAGTAAGTGACGTTTCAGTGCTGTTTTAAATGACTTAATATTACTTGTTGCGTTTTTGAGATTTTGAGGGAAGCTATTGAACACTTTGGTTTATATATAATGTCAATAAGTCGGGCGTTTTTGCGTCGAATGATAATATAGCCAATGTACAATGAATTGGAGAGGATGTGGAAGGAAACGGCCGCGTCCTGATTTGGAGCACTGCCTCTGTGTTTATCTTCAGACACTGATAACCTCAAAAGGGGTCAGTCAAGCGAGCCAGCTTCCGGGCCGAGACTTGAACTCGTGAGTTCCCAAATAAAAAGCAAAGGTTCTACCCAATCAACTGTTATGTTCGGTGTTTGATTTGTCAAGTAGTGCGTCAAAATAACTGTAGTGAACGTGCTTTGCCTGTTGTTGACAGGGTTCGTGTAGAGACATCTGCAGGACGGACAGTGATTCATTAGGCTGGTGGCATGACAAGAAGAAAGGATGGCGCGCCCTCAGGTGGTTGCTTGTGTTACTAGCAGTGCTGCTCGTGGTCGGCCTCGTTGTGTACTTCCTCGTGATTGGTGAGCTAACAGTTAAAATTAAACGAGATGATACTACAAAGCACATGCTAGAGGTATTTTTCTGCCAATGCTACAGTGTACGCGGACGTGGTAGTGAATCTAGTTGTGCTATTGACTGCCAGCTATGTCCACTCTTTTTGGATTTGAAGTTCTAGTAACGGTGGCAATGAAGAGTATACTCTTCTGGGTTTGTAACACCATGCGGTTCAAGACAATCCAGCATTTCGGTGGAACATATGACTTCTATCTGCAGGGTCTAAAAGTAAACCAAGCAAGAAACCAGCAGAAGCAGGTGGCCCTGAAGATTAAGGTAATATGGTCTCCGAAGTGTTGCACTGTGAACTAGACAGTGTTATAACCAGAAGACATCATTTTTAACATCCATTCATAGTTCTAGGATTGCTGTCCTAATATTAAAATATGATTGCAGATATAAAATAATTTATGTTCTCAGATATTTTGCTCAAAACTGGCTACTCTCACATGCATCTGTATTGAGTTCCTATGGCTGTAGCTAGATTTTGGAAACATGAAGTGTTCTCAAACATTGTAATAACATAGACCTCTTAAATAATACATAAATTTAAGCGGCCACCCATTATGTAAAGGCACAGCAGGAATCTAAATAGCTTTACAGCCTCTCTACACCTACAGTAAGCTATAAAATGTTCCTGTACAGTCACAAAAAGTGTCATTTTACATGCTGCTGCAGGATGTATGTTGACAGCAGTTACCTAAATAGGTGCATAGCCTCTCTGTCCCTACAGTAAGCTGTAAAATGTTCCTATACAATCACAAACTTGAAAAATTTTTCACCAGCTGTGGTTACATTTTCTGATACACTGACTTGCCAAAACTGTATACGGATACAACTACAGAATATTTTACATAATTCATATGGACTTAGCAATTCCCCTTAGAATGAGTCGTATGCTTTTAGGTGGGGAGGGTCATGGCTAACAATTTGAGAAACAGTTTGCTGGGTGTTACATTAAACCAGTGTTTTGACATGCAGTCATGTTGTAAGCCAAATCTAACCAGTCTTCTGATTTCTGTTCTTCTGGAACTAAAAACAAAAGTTGGTAGTGTCAAGACCTGTCATGATGAGAGCTATAAACCAATCAGTATCAGTCTTCAGCACTTATGCTATTCACTTTCTGTCACACTTTTCACAACTTAATGTACTTTTCAATAAAGATAAAGTCTTTCTGATATTTATTTCATTTTAAAAACACTTTACTATATATTTTTTAAATGTCAATGGTGTAGAACAACTGGTGTAATATAATTTTTTACCAAAAAGATTGTCTCATGGCAATAATGGTCTATACTCATATCTTGGAGGCCTTTTATTCGAATCTTGGCTGGGGCATTGATTGCTCAGCAGGATTGCTGAGGGGATAATCAAAAAGGGGAGGCACAGTAGATCACTGTGGGTCATGGTGCAAGGGCCGAGAAGGCCTACCCCTTATACATTCATTCATTCATCTGATGGAGATCCTTGATGGATTTCCTCAATCCCTCCAGGCAAATTTCTAGGTAATTTTTATGCCATGACTGCTTCCATCCAAATCCTTTAAAATTCATCATTTACCTTTCATCCTATCACTTGATACTACATAGTTTAATGTCATAAAATAACACACATTACATACATGTAATTTGTATTATTTTAAAATAATTTGGTGCTAGAACTTGGATATTAACAAAGAACATAACACAGATGTTATAAATCTATCAGAATGCCAGCCTTGGATGTTTCATGTTTAATCGAACATTTCAGTTTATTCTGGCGCTGTGTACGAAAAAAGTTACACTTCGGGGAAACTGCAAAAGGGTTTAACAGGTTCAAAAGTTGGTAGAATACTGGTATTCCCCAGAACAAAAACATATTTTTCTGATATGAGATGCTGCACTTCTTACATGCACAGCCCCATTTTGAGTTTCAGATATGAAGGTGATGACACCAATACTAACAAAGTCACAAGAAGATCATCAGTTGATTGATGAGTTAAAAACAGTTATATCAGAAGATTCGCATGAGGATATGGTTGCCTTAGATGGAGAAGTCATGTTGGATATCGGTGGCATCACGTACCACGAGGGCCAGTACCATGTTACCAGACAACCAGGTTTGTTAATTACTGATTTCAAACTTGAAACTTACGTGTAGATTTCACGCAGCACCCATGTCATTATTGTCACGTGATGGAGTGACTACAGATGGGGTTTGGATTGGTAAATGAATTTATTTAACACTTAAAAGATCCATAACTACAAGCATTTATAACCATTTCACTAATTCACACAATTTACAGTTCACTAGAGCACGCACTTTAGTCGTCTAAGTCTGCTGTGTCTTCACCAGTCTTCTGGTAACGGCTTCCAACGGCGGATGTTCCCCTTCATCAGGTTTCCCAAACTGTCCCTGGCCTCGGCTACAGCAACTCTTGACTAACTAACGAACTCTCAGCCAGTTAAAACACCACATCCGATTATTGTTGTATTCAACTATTGCCATGGAAACATGCTTGTTTGCAAAGCCATTACTTGGTGATGGCTGCCTCTGCTTCACAGTTCTTGCCTTGAACAAATATGCCATATTATTTTACATTAAAGACTTGGAGTTATGTTGAGCCACATTGTACAACTAGCTCCTAGCTAATTCCATGGAGGTTAGTCCTTGAGAAACTTCCAGCTGCTCAGCTGCTCAAGAATTTCCCAACATTTTACAAAATCTGAAGGTTCATTACCACGTTCACAAGAGCCCTCCACTGGTCCCTATCCTCAGTCAGATCAATCCATACTATCCTATCCTATCTCTTTAAGGAACCATATATTACACATGAACTTTATTTATTCTTGTCCTTTGGTTGTCTGTATTGTATAGTTTCAACTCTCAGGAATTAGCCATAACTTATGTTGAAGTTGTCCAACATTTAAGCCTGCATTGCAGTCACCATTTTTCAGGATGAATGAGGTTGAAGGAGAATATGGTCCAATGCAGCGGAAGTAAGGACCTCATTTCATCCTGAAAAGTATAACTGCAATGTACACCAAAACATTGTAATAACTGAACATATGATGAACTAAACTAAAGCTGAAATTAAGGGACGTGCCATAGCTCAAGCGGTTAGTCACTGGCTTCCCACCGCGGCGGCCTAGGTTCGATTCCGGGTCTGTTCAAGTGGGATTTGTGGTGGATGAAGTGGCGTTGGGGCAGGTTTTCTCCGAGTACTTTGGTTTCCCCTGCCAATCTTCATTCCACCAATTGCTCCACAATCACCCTCACCTATCATCTGGGGCTGGTAAAGTAGGCCAGAAGTGACCGCAGTACAAGGGACTTAGTCCCACCCCACTGGCATAAAAAAAAAAGCTGAAATTACAATACTAATTTGTGTTTCAGGTGTGGACACAACAAAGCCAATCAGCACTTCACATCAAGATTTCATAGAGATTGTTCCAGCCCCAAATTTTGGTATGACACAGAGTGATACATCTGACACAAACAAAGAATTGCTCTTAATATTAGGAACAAACATACCTCAATCAAATGGAATTTCTTCTACAAGGGAACCATCTGATATTTCAAATTTGCAAACAAAGAATTTCTCATCTACAGATGATGCTCATTTATTTTATCCTACATCTAAACTGTACAATAAACTTGCAACTGAGCAAGATGAGCAAGGAAACAATGGTACTGTATCAACAACAGCTCTTCCTTTAATAAGGAAAAGTAATAGAACCAACAACAAAATTGTGGGAAATGAAAGCAGCAGGACTCAAGTTACACCTCCAGTTCGAAGCCCAGTGTACCCCACGTTACCATCGAGTACTCCAGTGCTACACAACATCTCCGAGATTCTACATCAGAATGAGTCTGAAAGTATGTATAAAACATAGTGTCGGTCTCTGAGAGTTTTTGTTGACAGAGTTCTGAAGGGAATATCTGGATCTAAGAAAGCTTAAGTAATGAAGGGATAAAGAAAATTACATAACGAGAAACTTCTTACTCTGTATTAACTTATTCTGTAACCAGCCATGTACCAATACTCTTTATCTAACATTGTCAGGGTGAATTAGGGAAGGAGTTAGGAATACACGGGAAAATGCATACAAAATTTTGTGACTTTTGAGTTCCTAGCCACTAAATTGTTTGCAAATGTTTAGATTTTATGTTACACATTACAAGGCATTATCACAAACAGTATTCTTGTGTACATGTAGATTCTGAGAAGTTTTAATTTTAATATTATATTTATTATTCTTCCATCCAGTCTCTATTTTTTAACTCCTTCCATTTTTATATGGCCTAGAAGCTGTAAGATAAGGTGTGAGCATATTCTTACCTCTTCAACAAGTAACTCTTCATAATATAATTGTCTTTACTCTCTTGTTACTTTCTGACTGATTCTGATTACGTGTGAACAGTGTAAGCTAACCTGTCTACACCATGACATTTTCTTCTGAAAGCCCTTATGAATGGCTGCAACATATTTATTGAAGAGCTGAAAGTCATTGTTAGAGCTCAAAATCAGCATATAATATCCATGATTGTGAATTATATGTACTGCCTACCAGGTTTGTGTTTTTCGCCTCACCTGTCCATGTGCCGTGGGACGCTGCCGTATGACCTGACGACATTGCCACTTATACCAGGAATCAGTAAACTAGAAGATCTGGATGCAGCCCTGCCATATTTTGAAATGATTGTTGAGTCTGGTTGCAGCGCAAGAGCCCGGCAGTTTGTGTGTTCAGTTTTAGAGCCTGAGTGTCGGCCAAAGGGAGATATATTGCTACCACCATGCCATAAACTTTGTAGAGGTAAACCATGTTGTAATTTATATCACTTCATGATAACTTACTGAATTTTATGAATGAATACATCACATTTTAATGTGAGTAATTCCTAATTACATTTTGGATACATTCTTAGAAATGGAGGCATATATCAGAATAATCATACATGGGAAATCACGTGATCCTATAGTAGCCTTGAGCCTCTAGGCAGGCCTTTTAAATTTATTAAGGCAGAAACAAGCCACCCTGATGGAATATGATTATGAGTTTAAGATTTGGGGGAGGGGGAAGCAGAAAATTTGGATTCAAAATTGAGAATAAAGATCTGTCCATCTTTGCTCTTTATGTCTTCTCAGTAATACATGTGATTTTCACAAAATATGTTTACTGTTTCAAAGTGTTATGTTTTCGTAAACATGTTGCACAACTGAACGAAACAGAACCTAAATTTATGATTCACATGTAGAATTTGCATTGGTTAAGTTCCATATATAAAGTATCTTATATCAATAATAGCTGCACAACTGGTGCCTTCTCAAGAATGGCTCAGCTCCATGAAGTCAGTTAGTTATATCAAGATGATGTTCTGTGTCCACATGCATGCCTTTATTTTCTTCTCGAAAAACCATAAGCAGACCACTTATGTTGGTATGCTCAAAAATTGTTTTCTGCAACTCAAAGAAAAAGTTGCAGTTTTCCAGCTAGATGGTGAACTGTCCCTTTTAACAACTAGGTTTGAGTTATTACAAATGAAAAATGTCTGGATATTTTGATGGGGAGGTAGCCCAACAGGTCACTGCATTTAATGTTCAATGATTTTTCGGGTGGTATTATATAAAAAGTGTGTTTGATATAAACACTAGACATGCAGAAAGTATTGAAACATTGTAACAGAATTATGACAGCTACTGAAAACATAACACCAGAAATGCCATCAGGATATCTACTGCAGTACATATAGAAATTTACTAACACAAATTCTAAGTGTGTGTCATTGGTTTTGTTTCTGTTTCAGTCAGTTAAGTATCGTCGTTATGAAAATGTAACACCTTAAAACACAGAACATATTTTATGGACATTTTATATTACTCTTACATTTATCTGTGTGCTTCCCTTGAAATGCACAAGTTTCAAAAGTGCATTCGACTGGGTTCTCTATTCTGTGTTTATTTGCATTTAAGCAAAATTTATATTGAGTAGTTAGATTCTGTGAATATAAATAAAATCTCTGCTATTAGAAAAAGAGCATCATAAGCAACACCAAAGTGATGTATAAGAGATCAACATATTTCTCTGATTGATTCTTAACAGCTGTTGCTGATGAGTGTGGAGAATTCATCTTGGCAACACTTGATCTGTCACAAGTTTTCCAATGTGATCTGTACCCAGATACTGACGACCCAACAAAATGTGTGAACTGGGCAAGAGGTATTTGAAAGTACTGTAATATCTGCTAGATCTATAGGTTGTATAATATTAAGAACTTTGTATATCGCATGATTCTTGAGGAGGCTGTCATGGTAATTAACATACAGATTACTATCCTCTGGTTTGTGACACCATGTACTTTGATACCAACGTTTTGGAGAATCTCCTGCCTCCATCTTCATGGTAGAATATTGTAACGTGTCTTGAGACTGAATCTCGTCGATCACGTGTGTAAGTTCAAATCCCACTTCTGACACCAGTGTAACGTGTTTTGGTTACTGTATACACCGTAGAGATGGTTAATTGGATTATTTAACAATCTCCAAGTATCGGCTACAATTACTTATCAAACAGTTGCGGGGTTTCACACTTTATAACCCTAATCGCATTAATCTGTTACCACTGTTGCGGGGTTTCACACTTTATAACCCTAATCGCAAATTGAATTGAATTTATTTACATTCTATAAATCCTAAGTAGGTTAGTACCTTTGGATACAGAACAAGTCAAAAGGTTACATACATAAGTACAGGCAATTTTAGCTTAAAAATTAATATAACTTAATTTTACATCATTCTCTATTTACATTGAAGTATTCATCTAAAGAGTAGAAGGAATGAGCATGTAGATAATTCTTTAACTCTGATTTAAACTTTTTAGTATCATTGCCCAAGTTTTTAATACTTTGTGGCAGATTGTTGAACACTTTTATGCCAGTAAAGTAGACTCCTTTTTGATATACTGATAAAGTTGATGAGGGTAGGTGGAAGTTATATTTTTGTCTAGTATTCATGTTATAGACATCAGAATTTAATTTGAATTTATCTTTGTTGTAAACAACAATCAGTTCACTCTGTCTTCAGTAGTCTACACATTTACAGTAGGGGAGCTATGTATCACTGTATCACACACTCCCAATTACACAATCACACACACGTCCGGTTCTTCTTTCCGCGACGGCTGCTATACTCCAACTGTAGTCTGCTCACTGGAGAACTGTTGATAACACCCTCGGCGACTGTCACATTACAACTCGACTCGGTGGCTGTTACTCTACAACTAACTGGTAGCTGCTGTGCAGTATCCTTATATAGCCGCAGTGGTGCCTGTTGCGTTCCACGTCACAGTAGGAAGTTGATTACAGGTACGTAGCGTTGCACGTTACGTCACCGCGGAGGGGTGGGAGGGAGCGCTACATTACCGCCACGCGCCTGTGGCCTGAGTTGCCACGTTTCTGCTGGGTAGGGAGGGGTTCTCCGTTGCGCAACATGTTACAATATTTTACACTGAAAGTGAGGGCAGGAGGTTCCTTCGATACAGTAATTTTCTCCCAACTACACAGTGTCACATCCCAGAAGACAGCAATACTCATCTGTCATATTGATGTAATTCCTTATTCCAAGTGCATGTATCAGAATCCTTTTTTTGAGAACACAGCAATCACTCAGCTAATCAAGAAATTCACTCTCTTATGGAACCAGAGGTTTTTTGCCATGTTCATTAGAACCTACCAGTGGTCCCTGTCTTAAGCCAAATGAATCTAACCCACTCTCTCCCACCTTTTTTAAGAACCATTTTAATATTATCCTCCCATCTATGCCTAGGTTCTTTCAAGTTTTCCTACCAAAACTCTGAATGCATTTACTATCTCTTCCATGCATGCTACATGCCCTAATCATCTCCTCCTCCTTGATTTTGTCTTCATATGACTTGGTGAAGTGTATAAATTATGAATCTCCTTATTATACATTTTAATAATTTGTTAATCATCTACATTGAATATGGAGGAAGCAGGTGTCTCTGAAATGCTGGTAACCAGATGTGAAGTACATGGAATCATAACCAAAAAGAGAATCATTTATGGTTCAGTGTATCTTCCACCATCTCATATTAGCTGAACTGCACCACAGACATCAGTTTATGCACTAAATATAAATGCATGTGGGCTGTTCAGTTATTACCAAATGCTTGTTTTAGGAGAGACATGTTTGGGAAATGAGTTTCGCTGTCCAGACGGCACTTGCATCCCAAGTCACTGGCAGTGTGACGGTGCTAATGATTGTTTATATGCTGCAGATGAAATAAACTGCACACAGTGCAGGAATGGAGAGTTCAGGTGCTGTATGATCAAGTTATTTCATGATGTCGTTTCAACTGTACATGTTATATGATACTGAAATAAATGAGGGCATGTTCACAAATGGAAAGTAGGTAGGATTTAGGATGTCAGGCATGGGCTGTTCTGAGGCAGTGTCCCAGAATTCATCTAAGGAAACTAACATGAATGATGAAAATTGGTTAATTGGCTTAAAAGATCAAAAGACACATATACACACATGAATACATCTAATTTCCTACCAGGAAAATGTCACTGAATATTGATATTATTGATATTTTCCTTTTGGAAATAACTTATTGCCTAAATATAGTTACTCTCTATAAGAAACTTATTGGACATAACCTCAAAGTTTTGCTTGGCACTGTCACAATATTTGCAAGTGTTCACCTGCAAGTAATATTGCATTCTTAATCTTTAGAAATGTTCTTAATCTACTGTAAGAAAGTAAAGTTTTCCCTGTGCTTAACTAATTAAGCCTTTTTGGCCTCAGCACTAGCTGGAGGTGAATAATCTGTTGTATGGAAATGAAATATGGTCCAGCATATATATGATATATGTTATTCTGTATGAAATTTGATCTACATTACATATACTCTAAGGACACTAGCTGTTTACGTTTCAGATGTGACAAAGATCATGAGTGTATTTCACTTAATTGGCAATGTGATGGCCGGCAGGACTGTTCGGACGGCTCTGATGAATTCAACTGCCCCACACAGGAAGGTATGACCATCACCAGTACTCAGATTGAGAACAGTAACAAGTGAACACTAGTTAGTTAGTTAGTTAGTTAGTTATTGGAGAGGGTGGGTTTCCCCATGCACTGAGACCTGTATTGGTCCATTGTGCTTCCCTCTATGATTTCTACCAGTCTCTATATCCTACCGGTACTGGTGCTTACCATCAGTCCCGCCCAGCCAGCGAGACCGGCTCTACTAGCTGAGAGGTATCTATAATGCTTCCCCCATCTACCAGAGGTATTAGAGACTGCTGTTGGGCGGGAAACGTCCGTTAATTTGGCTCAGTGACCTCCTTTGGAGATATGAGGTTCTTTTACGTGCCGTAAAGCTACGACACGGGACCCACGGCTTAAAGTCCCTCCCGGAGGACTTGTTCCCTGAATTTTTCCGCCCTTAAAAATTCGACGACCTCCACTGGGTATTTGAACCCGCATACTACGAGTCATGAGGTGGGAACATTACCTCTAGACTATGTAGGCCGCTAACTGAACACTATAGTCAGTCATTAGATGTTCAGACCATGCATGAGGGCATGTGAATAATACGTATGTCATGTCCATAAAATGGGAAAACATCATATACATGTTCAAGGTAAACAAAACCCCCAACTACAATTTAACAATATAACCTATATAACCTATAATTGTATTCACTCTATAATGGTAGATAAATCAATAAAGAATCAGAACAAAATTGCAAATGTCTTTCTATAGTTCTTTCTATAGATAGCAGATTCAGTCATTCCAAACAAGAATATATATTCAAATCAAGAACTACCCACTCCAATAGATTACTTAGTAAACTTATTTAGCGGACCTTTCTCCAAGATGAAATGGCAATATGTTTCCACTCAGGAAATCACAAGAATTATTAAATCATTAAAGACGAAGAACTCGGGTGGATACCATGAAATTTCAAATAGAATTATAAAAGTAAGCCTTCCATTTATAATTTCCCCATTGACTTACATTTGTAATGCAATTCTTAGTACTGGTGTTTTCCCTGATAGATTGAAATTTGCTATAATCAGACCACTATTTAAAAAAAGAGGAAACTCAAAACGTTGCTAACTATAGGCCTATATCACCGCTAACTTCCTTCTCTAAGATAATCGAAAAACTTATGTATGCAAGACTCATTAAGCATATCGAGTCAAATAATATGTTGGCCCAAGAACAATATGGTTTCAGGTTTCATTCTTCGACTGAGCAGGCGGCCTTTTCATTGATAGATAGCATCCTACACACTATGAATAATAAGTTAATGGTAGGAGGTATATATTGTGAACTTCAGAAAGTGTGGAAAATAAAATGAAATGAAATATATATATGTTCTTATTGCAGAATGTGGGCCTGGTCAGTTCCAGTGTGAGGATCAATCTGCATGCATTCCCACAAGATGGCTCTGTGATGGATCTAATCATTGTAGAGATAATTCAGATGAGAAGAACTGTTCGTATATAGGTAAATGAATGTAAAACAGAGGAAACTACTTCATAAAAATGTCTCACAAAATGATATTAAATGATTGATTAATGGGTTTTAATTTGGCTTACCTGCAGTAGTAATTTGTAACTGTAAATATATGGAATAAATCAAATAATTTTATTTTCATGGTAGTGGGTAGTATGGTTACAAAAGTTTCCTGCAGATAGTGACAATATGTTACCTCAAAAGGTATTCAGTCATCTATGTTACAATGCTACAAAATATCATAACCCAGAATACCACAATCTAAATCAAATAAATATTTAATGACCAAACTCAAACATGAATAATATTACATGAAGATTTAAAATTATATAATTTCCTCTGGCCTTCTGTAATTTGTGTTCATTATAGCTAAATATTTTCTTCACCATTTTGTCTCAAATGCCTTCAGCCTGTCTTCATTTAGGGTGAAAGACCAAGTTTCACATATATGTAAAACAACAGTGTAAATTACTCATCTGGGATGATCAAGAAGTAAAGTACAGTGAATGGAGAAATCTTTGAATTTATATTTTAATATTCTCTTTCATTCTCTCTCTTTGTTTCTGAATGTCAAAAAGCAAATTTATAACTGTCATGGGTATGAGGGGAGCTTCATAACTTGTACTCTTCTCAAAGTATAATTAGAATGATCAATTCAAGGAGGATGAGGTGGGCAGGGCATGTAGCACGTATGGGGGAGAAGAAGAATGCATATATTGGTGGGAAAGCTAGAAGGAAAGAGACCACTGGGAAGTCAAAGGCGTAGGTGGGTGAAAAATATTAAAATGGATCTTAGAGAGGTAGGATGGGCCGCGCCATAGCTCAAGCAGTTAGTCGCTGGCTTCCCACCGCGGCAGCCCAGGTTCGATCGCGGGTCTGGTCAAGTGGGATTTGTGGTGGACAAAGTGGCGCTGGGGCAGGTTTTCTCTGAGTACTTTGGTTTCCGCTGCCAATCTCCATTCCACCAATTGCTCCACAATCACCCTCACCTATCATTTGGGGCTGGTACAATAGGCCAGAAGTGGCTGCAGTACAAGGGACTTAGTCCCACCCCACTAGCAATAAAAAAAATAGATAGGATGGGATGGTATGGATTAGATTGATCGAGCTCAGGATAGGGACCAATGGAGGGCTCTTGTGAACATGGTTATGAACGTTCAGGTTCCATAAAATGCTGGGAATTTCTTGAGTAGCTGCACAATTAATGGCTTCTCAGGAAGGGCTCAGCTCCCTGAGTGAGTGATGGGTATGAGGGTCTTTAGCACTGATGTGTTTTAAAGTTGAGTTGTTGGACAAATATTAAAGCAAAGTGCAATTATAACAGCATCAGTAGACACAGTTTCTCTGTTGGAGTACTGTCCATTGAAGAGAATTTGTCTGGCTGGTGAAATGAGTCAGCATTTGTTGACCTCTGATTATATTCATGTAATTATCTTAATATTTAGGCACTTAGAGATGCTGATATACAGAAAAAGTAACTGGTGTTCACAGAATGTCATGAGGAAGATTTCAAATGTCGGGATAGAGGCTACTGCATTCCATCAATGTGGAGATGCAATGGGGTCAGTGATTGTGTTGATGGTTCTGATGAAGAAAACTGTACAATCATTAAATCAAGTGAGTACTTTTCTTGCTTGCCAACTCACCTAATTACAGCAATTTGAAGTCATATTTCAATAATTTCAAAAAGTGGTATTGTACGTGGTCATCCATGTTTGTTATCCAGTCATGCCCAGTGCCTTTCTCTATACTGACAATTTGATGTAATGATGTTAACATATGCCAAAAGAATGTTGGATTTGAGGTTCTCACAGTAATGACCATAAATATTACCATCTTCAGGGATGCTGTATTCTGTAGCAGAACTTCACTGATGTTTCGTGTGAACTTGATGCTTCCATCTTCAGCAATGAAGAGTCGATTCCTTGCTTGTTGCATAGCTTACTCTTAGGCCCTTAAGATGAACGCACCATGTCTCTATGAAGTGTTAGTAAAATTCTACTAGATTATACAGTACACAGCTCATCCAAGAAGATAGTTACTTTTCAAACACAAAAAAAAAGAAAGCAGTCTTCTGGGCTTTGGCGCCGTGTATATGTGGTGTTAACCGACGTTTCGGAGGAACGTATCGCCCCCATCTTCAGGGTTGAAGAAAAAGTATAGGTAAATCTGCAAGCGACAACACCGTGAGACACGGTAACGCAG